CTGTGTGTATTGACATGCCTGTACACGTGCCTGCATGCATGTGTATGTGTACGCGTGTGCATGCAGGCACATCTGGGTGTGCATGTGTCTGTGTGCATCTGTTTGCTTATGTGTGTGGTGCGTGCATGTGCATGGTGTGTCCATGTGTGTGGTGCGTGCATGCTTGTGCGTGTGCATGTGCAAGTGTGAATGGTTTTGTACATGTGTGCCTGTGTGTGGGTGCACATTTGTGCGTGGCCGTGTGTCTGTGTGTACATGTACATGTGTGCGTGCATTTCGGGGGGGGGTGCGCACGTATGGGGTGCATGTGTCTGTGTGTGCGTGTCTCCATACACATATTTGGTTGTTGGTGTGTGGGTGTACATCTGTGTGTGTATCGGTGTCTGTATGGGGGGTATATACATCTGTGTACATTCATGTGTCTATGTGTGTGCATCCGTGTCATTACGTGTGTGTATGCGTGTGTGTGTGTGTGCACACGTGCGGGGATGTCTCTGTCTCTCCCTTTGTACGTTTGTGTGCCTGGATCTCAGCACACGCGTGTGAGCATGTCTGCGTGTGTGTGCGTGTGTGCAAACCAGGGAGGAACGAGCAGGGAAACGCTGGGGGGGAGCACAGGGCCCCGCTGTGTGTGCCCGCGTCTGCACACACACGTGGCCGTGGGCAGCCCACAGGAGTGGGGATGACTCCGGGTCTCTGTCTTTTTACGTTTGTTTGCCTGGATCTCAGCACACGCGTGTGAGTGTGAATCCACCCTGCACCGGGGCATTGGTGCAAGAGCCAGAGAATGTCATGGGGTGCGGGGTGCTAGCCGCAGCCTGGGAAGGGCTGGCACGTGTGTGAGTGAGAGTGTGAATCTTCATCCCACCCTGCACCGGGGCATTGGTGCAAGAGCCAGAGAATGTCATGGGGTGCAGCGGGGTGGGGAGACGGTCCCTGCTCCCAGATCTTGCTGCTGGCCCGTGCCCTCCAGCAACGCTGCCCAGCAGCTCCTGGATGGGGAGGCCCCTTGAACCCGGTGGGACACCCAGCCTGGAGCCTGCTGCTGGGTTTTCACCCTCTCTCAATTTAAACATAAATTGCTTAAAAAAGTGACACTGCAGTTCCCCGGAGCAGTTGGAACCCTCCTGGGCGCCCAGGGCTGCAAGCCGGCATGCTTCGGCATGGTGCTGCCAGCCACTTTCAGATGCTCTGGCTGCTTAAATAAATTTTATCATTTATAACCTGAAACGCACCTGAGAGCGCCAGGGAGCTTCGCCCCAGCTCGAGCCATTGTGGGCAGGTTGGAGGTGCGGAGCAGGATCCTTCCCAAGGCCTCGTGCTTGCGGGAGCTGCTTCCCACCCGACGGGTTTGGGGATTAATGCAGTTTAAGGGATTGTGTCAGCGTGGCAGCTGGGACATGCGGGAGCTGAGTGTAATCTGGTCCATGAGCCACTTCCCTGGGGCCGGCTGCCTCGCTGTGTGCTGCCAGCCCCTTCCTGCACGCGTGGAATCCCACCAAACCGAGCGGCCGCCCCAGGGCAAGGGGGTTCTGGCTTCCATCCCTGCACCCCATGGCCACTGGCGGCTCTCCCAATGTCTCCTTTGCTCTTGCCCCAGCCCCAAAACACCCAGAGGGCACCAGCAGTGCTTAAGGAAGAGAAGACGGCCCCGGTAGCCCCATGAGCCCCCTTGGGCGTCTCTGCAGGCTGCGGGGGCATGTTCCTTCTGTGCTGCTGCTGGTGGGCTCAGCCCCTGCGGGTGGTGGGTGCCCAAAAACAGACCCCCGTGTGCAGCCGTCAGCTCTGCTCCTCCACCACCCTGGTGTGCTGCCAGCCAGGGCCCAAGGAGTGACCCCAGCGTTTTTGGGGACACCATGCATCCCTGACATGCTGCTGGCAGCTGGGCTGTCCCTGGCAATAAAGCAGTCGAATAACCCTCTCTCCCCGGGGGGTTACTGCCCTGCCATGGGCTGTGCCCTGCCAAAAGCCCCTGCCACCCTGCTGCCTGCTTCCCCGCCACAGCGGGTCCCCAGACTCCATCCTGGCGGCTGCGTCGGGGTTGGCACGATGCTTTCAGCCCCCTGTTCACCGTCGTCGCAGCATCCCGGGGTGACAGCCTGTTTCCCTGCTTGGCCGGAGCCTCTGGGCTGCGGTGCAGGCAGGTGCTGGGGCGCTGGCAGGGGGTACACTGCCCACCTCACACCCAAGCAGGGACAGTGGTGACTTCTGCTTGTGCCCTGTCCCCAGGGCTGCTGCCTTCTGGGTGCAGCCGCGTCCAGCTCCCCGAGCACCCTGGGCCAGGGAGGGCTGGGCAAGCGTGACTGGGCCAAACCTGTGGGGACGTGAGCCCTCGAAGAGTCGGTCCTGCTGCGGGACGGTGCTGTTAACCCCCATAGTTGAGCGGTGTTTTACCTGAGGACTGTGCAGCATTCAGCACTCCCCGAACGAGTCCGCCTGCAATTAAGCGGAGGGTGCTGATAACCTGCCAACAATTCAGAGGGTGGCGAGGCTGCTCGCGGCACGTGCTGCCCTCGGATTCGTGCCCTGCAGCACCACCACCTCTGCGGTTTTTCAGTGCTGCCGCCACCCTGAGCTTGGCGCCCACCGGGGGCCGCGATGGCTGTGTCCCCCCCAGCCCCCGGTGTGGGAGCTGCGGCTGCAGACGGGGTTGTTGACATTCGAGCCACTGAAGGTCACCTGGATGTTGTTAAATCCTGGCAGCGTCCAGCAACCGACGCTGTTACGTGTGTGCGCGGCCGGCGAGGAGCAGCACGGGAGAGCAGTCACGGTACCGGGCCCAGCAGCACTGAGCAGAGCGTGGGTGCTGCCGGTCTGACCACGCTGAGGCAAGGAGGGGGCTGCCCATCCCCAAGGCTCCCCAGGCAGGTCCCGGCACTGCGGAGGGGCAGCCAGGCCCCCTTCGCTAGTACGGGCACTTAAGTGGGTGTTTTGCAAAAAGAAAAAAGGCTGAATCCATGCATTTTTAGGAAAAAGGACAGTGCCAGGTCTGTGGCACTGCCAGCGTGATAAACACGAGCTGCTGAGAACCAGAGTCAGTTCTGCTTTTAATTTCTTTGTTCCCCATAATTGCATTTACTCCTGATGAGGGGAATGCGGGGAGGCTGCCGAGGGGCACGGGGCAGCCAGCCAGGCTGGGGGCTGCGGCCAGGCCCTCCTGTCCCACACTGGCACTTCCCTCCCGGGACATCAGCCCTGTTGCAGCACGTTTAAGCCACGTCAGACTGCACACCGTGACCTGAAACCCCAGACTGCTCCCAGGGAGTTTCCAGCACCACCCCGGCAGTAGGAACGCAGCAACCTCGGCTGGAGCCTGATCTGGCAGCCCGGAAATGCTTCTCTCCGCGGCGGTGACCGGCCAGCGGCTCTCAGCAGCTCCACATGCTTTCTAGCACGGAAGAGGCTGTAAATTACAAATTTAGGAGGGGTTCACACACACGGAAAGTCCTGCAGTGAAGACTTTGGTTCTGTAAAGGCATTAACGGGTCCTGACAACTTATCCCATCATTGCTCTGTTTATTGATGCCACTGTCCAACATGAGATCTGACACCGCCTTCCCCACGGCACCCGTCAGCCAGGAGCCCAGTGTGCACCGGGGAGCTGGTGTCACCGCTCCGGCCACGGCCCGGCCCTTCGGGTGCATCTCACCCAGCCGCAGTCCAGCGATGGGAGCTGCGACGAGGATGAGCTGGGACCGCGGAGAACCGAGCTGCTGGAGACGGGAGCTCAAACCAACAGCAAGGAGACCGACCTGTGTCCCACCCACTGGGGCTCCAGCCACAGCCGCGTGGCGAGGGACCCCGGCAGCAGGTGCCTGGGAGCCGGGCAGTCTCCCGCAGGCAGCCCCAAGCTGGCCGGGGCTTTTCTCGGAGCCAGCCCAGGACCTGCTCCTCCATCTGGGGCAGGAGTCTCGCTGCTCCCACCACTGGGGACTGCACGGTCAATGCTATCAGCAAGGGCGAGGGCAGCCCGCTCGCCGCAGTATGTTTCAAAGAGAGCAGAAGAGCAGTTAAACACGTCAAGGTCTTGTGCACAGGTACATCATGACCCCACAGCACCCCGCGGCAAGACCCACGTCTACAAACCGCTCCCGCGTTTCGCGCTGGCCGGCGATGCCTTCGGTGCCGCTCTCGTAGCGGCGGGAGGGCCAGGCGCCCGGGGTCGCCGCTCGCTGGAGAGGCGTCTGCCGCTGCGGAAGGATTAAGTGCTAGAAATGAGTGTTTGGAGGAGCCTTGCTGATGGGGTCCTACCAGAAAAAGGTTCTTTTACTGCAACTAGTATTTTATTCTATTGTATAATTCATGAGTGCATCACAGCCCCGAGAGCCGGGCAGGCACCTATCAGCGCTTCAAGTCTAGACACACGGAGAACTTCCTCATCATCTGGATCTATTTATTACTCACCTCCCCCTGGCTGGGAGCTCCTTGTCGCCACGCGCTGCTGAGCGGCTGTCGCGTCCAGCCCGGAAAGCTGGGACGAGGCAGCGCCTTTGCAGAGCTCCTGGACAAAAGTGACTGTGCCAGAATCAGCCTACAGAGCATTAAAAAAAAAAAAAAAAAAAAATCTTGGCGATCCTAAGTTTGCTTATCAAATAAAAAGTTCCTCCACATTTATTAAAAAACCAAACAGTAGATTTAAAAAGCAGTTAAGAGTCCTACTCCGGCAAAACACCCTGTACAGGTTTCTTTTGTTGTTGGTTTGTTTGCTTTTTTCTGATGGTGAGGATTCCCCCTAAATCAGCTGCTTCTGTTAATTTTTTATATATATATAATCTTTTAATTTTGCCGCGCGTTGCTTGCTTTAATTAATTAATTTATTTCCAATCAGCCTAGCCGTCTCCACCAGACCAGCGGCGCTACCACACAAAGC